CCCCAAAACCCCAAAACCCCAAAACCCCAAAACCCCAAAACCCCAAAACCCCAAAACCCCAAAACCCCTATAATTCAGGTAATTTTTGAAATTAACTCAATTCCTTGATATATCTGCTGAATATGCTCTCAAAGCACTCCTTTCTGTTGTTAAGAATAGCTACTCTGGTCTCTAGAGGGAGAGGAACATTCACTGTCTCATCAGCATCCTCAGTAGAGACTTCCTGAATCTCCTTAACACAGATTTCTATGCTGTTGAAGAGGCATTGGAGTAGCTCTTTAGTGTCTGTCTTAATCTGCTCTTTTTGGTCATCTTCAAGCTGCTCTTGCTTATTTTCTTCTTTATTTTGGCTATTTGTTAGTCAAATTTATTACCTTTTCTGTGCTAAACAGTCATATTTGGCTAACTGCTTCTTTAAGATTTTCTGAAGAATAGCCCATTCCTTCCAGTACATGTTGTTCGTATATGGATTTGTTCTTATTTTTTCAAAACAGAACCTACAAATAAGCAGAAACCCGTTACTTTATCACTGTCTGAGATTTGAGAATGTCCAGATTGACAAACTCGTTGACAATATTGACTGTTTTATATTCATCTTTCTGCCAAACTCTGAAAATAGCCTGCAGAGCCACCACTTGAGCACTCTCTTCGGTGAATTCAGCCTTAATGAACAGTGTAAATTTATCAGCTAGTTTCTTGTTATGTCTGAGAGATTTCTGAGTCTTGTACAGGAAGCACTCAGTGAAGATGTCGATCAGGTCGTTCCCTGACACCTCAACCTCGAAGGAAGTCTTGTCAAATGCTATGTTTGAGCTATAAATACTTACTTCTTTCTCTAGTGCTCATATCCTCAAGAATTCTCTGGGCATCGTAATTGTCCTTATTTTCATTAATATGAGTGAATGTGCCACTTTTGTCCAGATCAATCAACCCCTTTAATCCTTCAGGCAAGGAGTCATACAAAGCCTGAGGCTGGGTCAGGTTTAGGCACTTTGCAAGAAGGTTTCTTACAAACACTTTTTGAATATTCTGGTCATCTTGCTCACAAACAAAAACCCATGAGTTCCAATCCCAATTGAACTCTTGTTGGAACAAGAAGAAGCTGAGCCATTCCAGTACTCTATCTACAAGTTCAAGGTTCATATCGGTTATCCTATAAAATGTTTTACAAACTGGCTTACTTCTTAAGGTTTTCGATATTCTCTCCTTCTTCAGGAGACTGGGCTCCAAAAATTAGCTGGATAGTCTCACCAATCGCTGGACCAAAGTTGAAACTTCCTCCTTCGACAGTAAATTCTTTACTCATGGTAACACATATACTAGAGAATACAATGACTCTTTTGATCGGCTCAGGAACACGAAGAATTTCTTCCATGATACAGTCACAGATTAGGTATGACAGTAAAGGAATGGTCTTCAGCTCTATTAGTCTCTGACATGCAAAATAAGAGTTATCAGCAAATGCTATAAGAACACTTTTAACTAAGTCCCTGGCAACTGCGTAGAATACAATGTCAACTTGGTTAATGAACCTCTGAGAAAACAATCCGAAATATCCTTGAAGCTTTAACTGTGGTAATTCTCCCTCTATGGTAAGGTCTGATAAACTATCAATGGCTGAAATCTCCTTAGTATCCAGTTCCTGGCAGAATTCAGGTGATGGACGGAGGTATACACTATAGATGTTTTCCTCAAGAGACTGAGCAACCTGGTTCGAATCAAGACTAAGCTTGATAGCCTTCCAGTACAGCTCTATCATTGTATCTGATTTATCTGTTTGACCAGCTTGTTCAAGATCAGCCTTTCTCTTCTGGACATGAGTTTCAAGCAAACTCTCAATCTCAGGAGTATTACCAGCTCCAGCATTCTCTCTAAAGACTCTGACTGAGAACATATACCCAATGAGAGCCAGGTTCAAAAAGTAGTCATTAGATTGTGATTGCTCAGCAGATTTAGCGCTAAACTCAAGCATCTGCTTGAGTAACTTGTCCATAGCTAAGACGCTGAGATAGCCAGTGTCTGCTAGGGCACCAAAGAACTTGATAATAAGTGAAACATCCTCATTAAGTGAGATTTTCTCATTAAGCATGGTAAAAACCTGATTAACTATGTTCACAGTATGCTCGTTTTCCTCCACAGCCATATTATTTAAGTATATATGCATATATGAACGCCTTCTGCGGAATGTTCGAGATGCAGGTCAGCAGGTGGTAAGCTATGGCACTGCCATGGACTTCTATTTTACTTCATAAATAAGCTGTCAACTTTTGGATATGTGAATCCAGGAGTTCGACTTTCTCATCTCCGATCCTAACTAGCATCATCATTATCTTGTCATAATCCTATTATTAAGCTGTAAACCTACCTTCTTTTGGTCCTCTGTTGTATTCTTATCTTCCATTTGATCTAAAGAGAGTCAGATTTGGGGAATGAGAGGGAAGAGGTTTACCCTGTTTCCATTTACTTACATTTCTAATTATTTTCCAATAAAAAATTGCTTATATGGGGTTTTGGGGTTTTGGGGTTTTGGGGTTTTGGGG